CGGCACCATGGCCTGCTGGGATATGCGGTTCCAACTCCCCATTTCAAACCACTCCCACCCTGCTCGAGCACGAATCAGACGGCTGCTCATGCATCCGCTCTACCAATCATCAGTGATTGCAGGTAAGATGACGACATCTTCTTCTTCTGTGTTTATTCAATTCAACATGTTTTAATTCAGATTCAAGTTCAACATCAGGAAGTCTTCATCAGTCTGTCGCCACGGAGACTCAGAGTCTCTCTCTCTGTGTCTCTCTCTCTGTGTCTCTCTCTCTGTGTCTCTCTCTCTGTCTCTCTCTCTGTAGCTGTCCAGGGAAATAATGAAGTGTCGATGTGGGACATGGAGACTGGAGATCGTAAATTCACTTTGTGGGCGAGCTCTGCACCTCCACTCTCTGAGATGCAGGTGTGTGTGTGTGTGTGTGTGTGTGTGCGAGAGAGAGACATGTGATGAATGTCAGTGTGAGACAGAAGTCACAGTTTAACAGCTGATGTTTGTTTCACAGCCGTCTCCTCACAGTGTTCATGGGATCTACTGCAGCCCAGCTGATGGAAACCCTCTGCTGCTGACGGCCGGGTCAGACATGAGGATCAGGTGTGACCCGCCACAACCTCTGCACAACAACAACACTAAAACAACAGCAAAACAAGACCACAACAACACAACACAACAACAATACAACAACAACACAACAAAACAACAACAACACAATAATACAACAACAGAACAACAACACTTGATGCTCTCTACTCTCTAACTTGTCACTGATTCAGGTGTTTAGTTGAGGAGCTGCAGATTTTAAACTCATTTAAACTCAGTGTTTTTATTACAGATCTATGATCGTAGATCTATGATGATCTATGAGTGAGTGAGTGAGTGAGAGAGGAACAAAACATCTGTGTCTCAGTGAAATTCAGCATAAATTCTCCTGAATAAAAACAGTGACTCACAGAGACTGGAAACTAGAGTTAAAGAGTAAAACAAAGCCACTGGCACTGTAACTGACCGAAAACATGGAACTTGGAACATGTGTTGTAACATGACGCTGTGCTGTGTTCAGGTTCTGGGACTTGGCGTATCCAGAGAGGTCGTACATCGTGGCCGGAGGAGCCAACGACTCGCTGCACTGTCCGTCTGTTCTGTACAGCAGGAAGATCATTGAGGGAACCGAGGTCGTGCAGGTACAGACACACACTCTGAACACACGTGTGGAACTCCTTGAAAGTAAAACTACAACAAGAGTAACTGTGATTGGTCAGTTTGTGTTTTCTTCTGTAAACACCTGATGTTTTCAAAATAAAACACAACCCCAGAGTTTTCAAAATAAAACAGGTCCAGCAGTGTTTCTGCAAGTCTCTGTTTTAGAGGCTGAGCACTCTGGAGTCGTGAGGACTGAGGAGGAGACGTAGGAAAAGAGATGAGTTTTAAAAGGAAAACATAGTCGTGTGGATGGAGCCCTACACTCAGTGCTGCACCTGAACGCATCCTGTCAAAACACAGACAGAGGACTGAAGCTGATGTTGATGTTGTCGCCATCCTCTAATATTTAGTTTAATTTGATATTTTATTTGATAGAATAATTAAATTCCATCAATTCCATCAGATCACACAAGTCTGTTTCCCATCATGCCTCTGTGAGCATCAGGTGAAAACCTATTCAAAAGAACATAAACTCTGTCTGTGCAGGAGATTCACAGTAAACAGAAGAGTGGCGTGGTGGAGGACTCGCCTCGCCGCGGCCCAGAATCCCTTCCTGTGGGACACCACGACATCATCACTGACATCGCCACCTTTCAGACCACACAAGGCTTCATCGTCACGTCGTCCAGAGACGGCATCGTCAAAGTCTGGAAGTGAAGATCTGCAGTAAAACACTCACACACAGGAAACGTGTTGGTGTGTGTTGGACAGGTGTTTTCTCTCTTCTCTCACAGTGACAACTTCCTGTCATGTGGTTTCTGATCTGAGAGAAGAGGAAGTTCAAACCCAGTGAAGCCACCTCCATGTGTTCATCAATGTCTCCAGGCTTAATAAAGCTTCTGCTCCTCCTCCTCCTCCTCTTCCTCCTCTTCTTCCTCTTCCTCCTCCACCTCCTCCCAGTTTTCTCTGATAATGTGTAAAGTGACTCTTCATATCTACGCAGCCTGGCAGATGTTAGGGACCATGTTGTTCCGAATAAAACACAATATAAACATTATAAACAATATAAAGACGATATTTTTCTGAACATCAGCTGTAGAAAAGTTGGTCTCATGTTTGAGAACGAGACTCGTGTTCCTCAGATTTTCTTTCTGCGTTTCTCATTTATTATACACTGAATCTGTTTCCACAAAATGTTGTGATGAGAATTTCTTTTATTATTTTTCGATGTTTCAAATCTAAAAATGATCTAATATTAAATGACTAAATGATTAATCATCAGCAGATTAATCAAGTATGAAAATAATCGTTAGTTTCAGCTCTAATTTAGATGAATGAATATTCTTGTCCATCTCTCAGTCATTAATGGTTTTGAATTATTCTTATATACAACAAGGATGTTCTGAAACATGTCCCAGTTTCCCATCATGCTTCACACTGTGGCTGGTATTATCATGACACAGGTAACCTACAGAAACTCTGTATATTGAGTTGCATGCTGGGAAATGTAGGATGTAGTTTAACCTGACCATTATGTTTTAATCTGCCTCGTCCGATGGAAGTCTGGTATCAGATAGCTGGAGGTTTCCATGACAACAGTGTGTTATTATAAGGGATGTAAAGATGACACAGTGCTGTGTTCACCAGCCACAATGTGAAGCGTCAAACGTGGACGGACCTTCAGTTCAATTAAATACGTGTTCACACATGAGCAACTTTACACCTGACACCTGCCAGGTTCTGTGGGTCCAGAACCTCCGTAGATTCTGAGTTTTGAGATGCTGCAGCAAACGACAGGAGGAGGAGCTACAGGAAAAATGTACACGTTAAAACACGTTTGTCCTTTTTCTGCAGATTTCTAAAAAACAAAATCCTCTAATGATCATCATGAATTCAAACATGAGAGAATTAGATCATTTTATTCATTATATGAAGAGACGATAAATGAAAACGTCACATGTGATTCTGCATGATGGATGTTGTTACTATGGCAACTTCATCATTTCCCTAAAATCTGTTTATTGGTCGGTGAGACAAAATAAGACATTGACCTGTGGCCCTCTCTCTCTCTGTCTCACCTCTCACCCTGTCTCTCTCTCTCTGTCTCACCTCTCACCCCGTCTCTCTCTCTCTGTCTCTCTCTCTATCAGTAGATTTTGTACAGACGTTATATTAAATCTGAATAGCATAAACTTTGACACTTGAACTAAACGTCAGAGATGTGACTGACCACAGACGAACCATGTGACCTGCATCTCAGTGTTGAAATTAAACCTGCAGCAAAGATTAGCTCCTCGTTTATTTGTGTCATTTATTGGTTGATTCAAGATCTGATAATTAGTTGATGAATGACTCCAGCCCCACAACATTAACTTTCTACTTGTGTCGCTTATCTTCTTTAATCAAACAGTTATCAACACTTTTTGTTTTGACAGAGGTTAACACACAACTTCTGTTGCTAGGTAACGTTGACCTCATTATTGGCTAAGTTTCATTTTTGATGCTGTGACCTTTGACCTCCAGCCATCTTCTGATTGGTAGTAATACTTGTGACCTCTCCTTTTAGCTTAGCAAACTTTAGCTTCAGATTTGACTCTTCTCATTAACAGATGGTCTCTGCTGTCTGTCCATCAGAGAACATCTTTGTCTGAGGCCACAACTTTTAAATCCAGATGTACATCATCCGATACAGCTGCTGGCCAGAGGTGGTGACGCTTCCAGTGGGCGGAGCATGTTCATGAGGAGCTGGACTGATGTAAACACAGTACAGAGCCGTGTGAACATGAACTTGTGGTTAGCTGTAGCTCAGGAACCGGCTGTGGTTAGCAATAAGGTTAGGGTGAGTAAAAGTAAAGTTAACAGACACCACAGCTGAGGTCACATATGGAGCTGAAGAAGAGTCGAAGCAGCAGGTCTCAGCTCATCTGAAAAGCTTTTTCTTTAGGTGAAGGTGAAACATGAAGCATTAAGAACCTCTCTCTAAGCTAACAGACTGTTAGCGTTAGCCTCAGTCTGTCACCATGATACAGCTTCATGTATGTCGCCTGGACTGGAAACATTAAACTTAAACACAAGACTAGAGATGAGAAGCTGCTTTTGTTTGTGTCTGAAATCAATGACCTCCTCTGGAAATACGAGTAAACACAACAGCAGATTTCACCCTCACTGAACATTAATCCCCTTTAGACAAACAGACACATCATCCACACTTTCTTTAATTCTTTATTATTGTTGTTTCTTTACATGAAGCACCATGAGTCGGTTTGATAAACCACACTGTGATCTCCACAGGCAGACGATGACACAGGCTGAAACCTCGCCGCTCACAGCAGAGACGCTTCAGACCTTTTATGGCTGTGACTGGGACTCCAGCTGCAGCCGTGTTTATGTTGGTGGAATAAATGAGATGCTGAGCAACATCACATCAACCCCGACAGAGCTCCAGAACCTTTAACCTCTAAGATTTATTAAAGCTGCTATATGTATGTTTAACATTATCAACGGGATGTGAACAAGAAACAGTTTGGATGTTAGCATGCTAACCAGCTATCCCAGGCCTGTCCTGTAATACCACTCTGTTCCTCAAGAGGCGATAGTGAGTCACTGTAGTGGTGTCACTCCGACATGAGGGCGGAGTCTAACCTCTTGTTAATGAATGGAACGTCCACCCCCGCCTCCCGGCAAGGAACGTGATGGAAATAGAAGCAAACCAGAGTCAACATTGGTGTTTGTTTCCGGGCCTGGAGACAGCTGAATGAAGTTTGATGCTGAACTCACAACGTTTCCTCTAGACTGGTAAGTAAACAGCTGCTAATGCTAACGTTAGCTGAGTAGCGATAAAAAAAGAACGTACATATAGCACCTTTTAAGAAAAATCCTTGGTCTTTAATTCAAAGTTATGTTCAGCAGTTGTGACGTTTCATTCGCTCACTTCCTGCTCAGATGTGAACGACAGAGAACAGAGCGACTACACAACGTCAGACCGGTTCTAAACCCTTACAGAGACCTGGACTCCATATCTTTTCTCCTGTCAGTGTTTTTGGGTGTTTTTCCTTCAATTCATTGTTGACAGTAGAAACAGCAGAAAGCGAGACTTCACTGGATAAATACTGAGGCTGTAGACGAGCCGTCTCCTTGGTTTGTGGGAAACTGACGAAGACTTTTTTCACTGTTTTCTGACATTTTATAGACAAATCGCTTGAACTGATTAATCAAAAAAAAAGAATCTGCGGATTAATAAATAATGAAAGTAATCGTTAGCTGCTGTCAGACTGATTCTGTCTATAAACCAAAATGATCAACTTCTCAGTTTCCAGGTTGAATATGTGAAGTCTAAGTGAAGTCATGAGTCTCTTCTGGTCACCAGATCAGTGACTGGTTTAAATAGTGTAAAGTCACGTCACCAGTTTCCTCAGATCTCAGCAGTAAAGTAATCGAGTAAAACATTCTCACAACCAACAAGAGCAAAACGTTGAAAGGCGGGACTCTGTCTGAGAGCGGCGTCATCTTATCTTATCTTTACCTTTGGAAAACAGTCTTTAAAATGAAAATCAAATGTTACAAGATAATAAAGGTTTACGATCAACCCTTCAGCTTCAGTCAAATCTAAACCAGATCAACCTTTCTGGAAAATAATGTGTTGAAGCTGATTTACATAAACTCACTTTAATGTTCTGATTGATTCCTTCAAGAGTCTCAATAAACTTGCTTTTACATCAGCCCCTACCTGCCTCATGAAAACAGCTGAGCTGACGGAAGAGTGTGTAACAGGTGAAGGTGGGTGGGGGTCTCTACAACAGGAGGGGCTCTGGGGAAACAAACATGCATGTTTAAGAAAAAGCCAAAGGCAACTCCTCCTCCTTCCGATCAGCTGTTGAAAAGTTTGGTTTTGGCAGAAACTGGTGAGCGGTTGAAACAGTCTGTGAGTAAATACGATTTCCTGAAGTTTTCCTGATACGTGTTTGGTGTTTCTCTCCGGCGGGGGGCCTCTTCATCGGCTCTTTGTCAGACACAGGTTCTCGCACTCCTCTTGTGTCTTGAAGCGGTTCTCGTTGCCGCCGCAGCCGCCATACCAGAAGCGAGAACACTCGTTCTGCTCGGTGTCAAAGAACCACATCATGGTGTAGTTCTGGCAGGTGCCGGGGTCCTGGACCAGGACACAGTCGTCTGACAGAGAAAGGACGGAGATCACAGGAAACATCAGGCACAAACTTCACTGATGAGTCGTCTCAACTTAAGGAACCAAACTGTTTCACTGATATTTCATGTTTACGTTCCTGTTTCTAAATTGATCCTGTCTGCAGCCAATAGTTTCACTTCCTTCATCTTACACACAGGACTGTAAAATGTGTTTCTGCATCTCATCCTGAACGTTCCTCCGTTCACTGAATCATTTTTTAATAAATAATAATCAGCTGATCAGATATTTACCTTTAGAGCCGAAGCTGTGGAGCTGTGGCCTCGGCAGGATGTCCGGATCTGTCAGAGAGAAGACTGTCAACCAGTACAGATACACGTGGGCTCACTATTTGGCAGGAAACAGGTCAGTGTTGTAATAAGCTAGTTATAAACCATTCATAAGAGGAGTCTGACTGTAAAGTGTTTGTGAATCAATGTAAACAGTGATTTAAAGTCTCATTAACTTTGACTCTGTGGAATCAGCTGGTGGAGTTTCAGATTTCATTGTGACTCTACTGAAGCTGGTCAATCTTAACCTGAACCTGCTTCTACGAACTGATGTCTTTAAATCTACCACTTTCTAATGTCCAGAGACTTTGAGATGAAGACAGACATAACAAGACATGATGAAGAAGACTGTTAGAGACAGACACCCTGACCTACAATCACAGAGACACTGACAGGCTGGTGGTTGGCTGCAGGCAGGACTTACTATTGGTGCCACATGTCTGGAAACATTCATGTTCCGTGTTAAAGCGGTTGGCGTTGCCGCCACAACCGCCATACCAGAAGGGAGTGCATGCAGCGATGTGTTTGTCATAGAACCAGGCTTGGACATAGTCCTCACACTGGAGACCAGCGTCAGCATCCAGCTGACACTGGGCTGAAAGCAGAACACACACATGTACTATCACTACACATGTACAATGACACACTGACAGACTGTCCAGAGCAACAGCCGACACTTCAACGTCACACTGAGATAAAATATAATATCTGAATTCATTATTAATTTGATGGAAATGTGACGAGCCATTGCCCTGGAGGACACATGCAGTACGCTGGGCTGATATTCAATAATAGCAAATATCAAGATATTTCCCGCCATAAGACACATTTCTCGTAATATCAAAAAAATAAAACTTTGATAATATTAATATTATTTGGGCTGGACATTTCGAGATATTAAATTGTGAATATCAGCCGAGCCGAACATGCAGCCTGATGAACAGCTGTAGACACGTTGTCACATGACACAGGTTTAGTTCAGTCATCATACTGTTAATGAAAAATAGAGAAAAATTCAGGAGACAAAAGATATTTAATAAAGATGCGATCAGGACGAGCTGAAGCTGCAGATCTGAATCTGTTTCTCCACTTTCAGGGTGTTTAAGTCCTGTTCGTCATTGAGCCTCCGAACAACTGGAGTTATAACCTGCAGGTTTGTACCTCACGTTAACATTGGTTTGGAGTTTATTTATATCAGATCCTTCAGTGTAGTTTAGTAAAGGTGAAGCAGCATGAGGCTCCACCCACCCCTCCCCCACCTGCGTCGTAAGATCAGGACGACAGGAAATGTAAAATGTAATTGACTAATTGAACAGAGGCCAGATCAGATGATCAGGTTTAGTCTCATGTAACTGCCTCCAGCTCATGTATGTAGTAAATAACATGAGACAATGAACACAGGAAATGTACGGAAGCCATGACGAGAAATATTTTTTATGGTAGAAAAAATGTTTTTCACATTCGTTTTACAAAAACAAACATTTAGAAAATTATTTTTTCATTTCACTGTCTTTAATGTAAAATCACAGTGATTCTAGTGTCACACAGGTCAGGAATATTGGATGTTTATGAATATTTGGGGATCTGGATATTTCTCTAAGTGACTTCATGGTCTTTAGGAAATTAGAGGATTTCTTTATTTCTGCATCAAAGCACAGAGCTGAACGAAGCGTCTTCTCCTGAACTAGTGGTAAACCTCAAAGGCTGCTTGAAGGTTAAGACTTGGTTTTAGGGTTCAGCCTAAACTCGGGTCAGAGGTCAGAGGTCAGAGGGTTAGTGAATACATTACATCAGTGAGTGTCCTCACAACTATAAAAAGACCAATGTGTTTGTGATGACTTTGGACCGTGGTGTGTGGGCTACCGGTGAGATTAGCTCCCGAGACAAAAGTCTGGCTGTCCCCTCCGTTCAGGGTCTCGATGATGTCCAGCTGGCCAGTCTGAGTCTGGCCTCCCGTCTGCTCCTGGAAGCTGTCCTCCTCCTCCTCCTCCTCTTCCACCTCCTCCTCCTCCAGCTGTGCCTGCCCTTGGCTGGACGCACAGCAGCCGACAGTTGATTCACAATGATTCATGTTCAGTGTCTGTGCTCAGCTGTGTCGTCCTCAGAGGAGGCGGCTATGTTTGAATCTTTCCTCTGTTAGAATATGTCAGAACTCTAGAGATGCTACTAATTATTATTTTATTGATTTCTCTGTCAGAACAAACTGATTTAAGTCCCTGTCAGATGTGTCATGTGTGTGTAATCATGTTACAAATTAGAACCAGTTCATCTCATAAAACACTGAATTATCAGATCTATTAATTGTTTTTGTTGATTGACTGAACGATTCATGTTTTCAACATCCACTATTTGTAATTATTATCATGTCAGTATGTAATTCTGCAGCAGTGTGAATTACCCCTCTATGAAGACTTGTCCTCCCCCCGGAGCGGCCAGCTGACTGCAGGTCAGTTTTAATGATGGAGGAGGATATGTGTTCATTCCCTCTGAAATAAACACAGGACAAAGACATTCATGTTTGTTGGAGAATATGTAAAGTGAAGTGGATGATCTCTGGAGCTGCAGACTAACAGACAGACAGTGTGACTGATTGAATCTGGAGTCTGGTCTCACTGTTGAGGGCAGAGAGGAAGACTCTGAAGAAGCGCTGGGCGTAGCCCTGCTCGTCGGCCTTCAGTCTGCCCACGTGGATCAGGTGCTGCTGGACAGGTGGACTGGCCAGCTCCTCCACCTGCGTCCGGATGTAGCGATCGCCCACCGCCACCACAAACAGCGCCACCCCCTCACACTTGGCCTTCTGGGAGATGTACTTCAGCATGGCCCGGTCAGTGTAGGCCGTCTCTGTGCCCACCACGGCCATCAGCACCCTCCTCCTGCGGGGCTGGCTGGCCTTCAGGAGCACCTCCCTCAGGGTGAACTCCAGCGTCTGTCCCAGAGCCGAGGAGCCGCCCTGCTGCCGCATGTTCTGGATCAGGTGTCTCCTCATCGTGTTGTGGTCCTGGTAGGTCTGGAATCCAAACTCCACCTTGGGAGCCCGGGTGCCGCTCTGCTGGACGACAGCCACCCGGGCCTGGTTGTCGACTCGGCGGGGCTGGGGGCTAACGACCAGCTGCTCCACCACAGAGCCCAGCAGCTGCTGCATGCCAGCGTACTCATCAGCCTGCATCTCCCTGGAGCTGTCCACCACCATGACCAGGTCCACATCCGCCTCCTGAGGCTGCACTGGCTCCTGGATGAAGGAGCATTGCTCTGAACGCCTGCAGGGGTCTGAAGACACGAAACCATCACCCACACAGCTGCTCACTTTTTAACAAGAATATAAATTATATAAATCTGACTTTTAAAATCCTACTCAACTTCATGTCCTCTTTAAAGCTGCTGTGTGTCTGACACTGGTCCAAGATTAAAAGGAGCTGCAGTTGACTGAGGTGAACACACGGACACACACAGACAAACACACACACACACACAGACACACACACACACACACACACACACACACACACACACCTCCTAATTTACTGGATGATTTATTTATCGCTGCTCACCGTAGCAGATCGCACAGCTCTTGACCTTCCTCAGGTCAGCGGCCATGTCCCTCCCCAGCACTGTGTAGATCGAGCTTCCTGAGTCATCGACCTGAGGAGAATAAAACATCATGAATGTCCAGGATTAAAGAGGCTCCTCTCCTGAGAGATGCTGTTGTGTTTCACAGTGTCAGGGTTGTTTTTCAGGCACTAACGCTGAAGACAAAAAAACCCTGCCTTAAATGCTGCGTTGGTCTTGGGTTGTTTTAGAAACCACTGAGATGATGAAATATGAACCACAGTCCAGTCTGAGTGACAGTTTAAAACTCCGAACAGCTGTTCATAAAAATGTGAGTCAGTTTGGGACTAGGTCTGTTTTGGACCAGGTCTTGTGATGCTTGAGTCGCTTCAGATGGGTCTGGGGTCTTTTTTAAAAAAGAAAATGAACTTATGTCTGATTTGTAGGTTTCTACAGGCTGCTCTCAGATCTGGTCCAGAGTTTTGGACCTGTGATGACGTGTCAGTGTAAAGGTCTCTGTCCATGTGTAGTGTGATTATAGATCAGGTCTAGGTTCTATATTAATACTGTGAAAGTATCAAAGCCTCAGTCCACAGAGAAATGCACACAGCCTGTATTCAGAAACTGAGCCTTAAAACCAGCCGTCAGGACTTCTGGAACTTTGTGATGTCACAACAAAGCAGTCACCAAGCTCCGCCCACCTGGACCCACCATCCAAACCTTGCAGGATTTGGTTTCTCTGAGTGTTTTTACCTGAAATCTGCTTTATTTTTATTGGATCACTCAGAAAACAGTCAGCCAATCAGAAGAGAGGCTCAGAGCCTCCTCTCTTCAGTTTATGGACTCAGATCAAACCTACCTCCATGGCTCGACCAATTGCAGGAGCGTTCCTCAGAGAGATGACAGCTGGGACGATGTTGAGGGCCCGGTACTCCATCATGGCGGTGACAATGTCGTTAACGTCCTGTGAAGGCCCGTTAGAGAGGAAGACTGCCACCTTCCTCATCATCATTCCTGATCGTACACGTTTGAAGACGTTCTGACCTACGAAGCGCATGGCGGCCGCTAGTTGGCGCCGGTTAGTTGTGCGTTCCAAGGCGATGTTCTTCACAGACTCAATCAGTTCCTTCTTGCGGTGGTAGTCCTGGAAACGGATCAGGTACTTGGTGTGGGCGCTGTATCCCACCACGGCGACCCGGGCACCTGTTGGACAGTTGCTCTCGGAGATGGTGATGTCCTCCAGCAGAGAGAGGAGAGCGACACGCTGCCTCTCGAAGGCAGTCGGGGTCACGTCCTCAGACATGTCCAGACCAAACACCAGCTCAGTGGGGTAGACTGGGCACTCTGATCGATCTGAAACCAACAAAGAAGACTTCATGTTGAGAGGAGGGGATGAGAAAGCATCCATGAAAGAGAAGATGGCCCCGTACTAAACTCCAAGGATCTTAGTAACGTTTTGGCCACACTACATCCCAATTCCCTCATTTCATCACTCCTCACTCGACCAGTCCAACATCTGGGGGGTCGTCCCAAAGCTGTGAGGAGTGATCTCTGGAGAACCAGCGAGGACACACTGGAGCTGAGGTGGAAAAGTCTTTTTTTCTTCTGATGGTTCAAACTGAGAGAAATGATCTTTAGTCTCTGAGCAGCTTCATGATCAGAGTGAGGAAAGGAGCTTCACTGCTTCCTCTCTCATCTCCTTTAGGAAAACACTGGAGCTTCTTTTACCAAAGGAAAGGAGAAATGCCGTCCCACAATTCCTTGCTGCAGCAGCATTTAAAACCACAGCAGAGACACATAAATGTAGAAACAACAGAGCAGCTGTTTTCTGTTTGATGGACTGAAGCTCAGATCCATCATCATCATGAAGAACGAGGTGATGAATTTATAGTGAACTAAATACTATAGTCTATACATTAAAGTTGTTTCACTAAACCCTCCCTGTGTGGAAAGACCTTAACATTCATTTTCTGTAGTTAACAAATGTAAAGGATTGTCAGGAAACTTCTGTATGAATATAATTTATTCTGATCTCTTGCTCAGTTCATCATTTTTATTTTATTATTTTAATATTTCAACTTTTCTTATCTAAGCAATTCAGTCCTGTTTGTTTTGTGTTTGTGGGTAAAGGAGGATTTATTATTTTATAAACATGTTATAAATAAAGTTTTTTAAAACAAAAACCTCCTAGTGTAAGTGCAGTCAGATTCTTTTCCTCAGTCCTGATGAATTTTCCTTCAGATCTTTAACCTCATCATGTTTTCCATAGAGGTCGAGGAGACGAGGTCAGAGATCATTTAGACTTTCCCACCTCAGTTCAGATCCTTCAGTGAAGTCAGACAGAAATCTGTTAGTGACTGGACACAGCAGCTGCTCAGACTGATGACCACATCACCGCAGGTTTTAGTTTTTAGTTGTAGTACCAAGATTTAGATGATTTGTTTTCAGTTTCATATAGATCTATATGTGGTCTGATGGGTAAAAAGGGAAGAGTGTATGATACACAGTAAAGTGTCCTGCTTGGTTCATATCTGGGTGGATAGTTTCATTTTCATTAACTCCATCTAAACCCCAAACATGAACCAAAGAAAGACTAGAGTCAGGCGGATTCATCCTCTGGGGACCGTGAACATGTGAAACTAATTTCTTCACAGTCCATCCAGTAGCTGCTGAGATATTTCAGTCTGAATGGACAGAGACAGTCATTCATATGATTGTCCTACAAACACTGGGAGAAGATCATGTAGATATTGGAACAGCCAACCTTCGTCCAACATCAACAGCGTCTGAAGCCAGAGGAGCTTGTAATGAGAGCTCTCCCTGGTGGTGGTCTCACTCTGAGGCCGGAGGTCTGAACTGAACTCACCACATGGTTCTGATTGTTTAGCTGCAGATACTCACCGATGGAACAAGCTGTGAGGAGAGAAAGGGATGAGATCAGTTCACAGGGAAAGACGAGGGAAGTCTAACTCTGACGAGCCTGTAACTGACTGGATACATGTTCCTCTAAGACATATATACAACACTCTGGTCTCTTACCACAGTTGTCTCTGATGTAGGTGATCAGCTGACACTCCTGAGGACACAAAGAAGACGTCATGTAAAAAAAAAAAAACTTTTGGTTTTGATTTTTCTGTCAATGTTGGCAGGTGAAGTTCAGTTTAAGGTGGACTCACAGTCATGCCTTTGCCTCCAGGTAGACCTCTGGGACCCTGAGAGGAGGGAAAAAAAGTAATTATTGACCATTTCTCTTCATCATCATCGTCAGTAAATTCTCCACTCAGAGTTCAGATGGAACATAAAGGTGGCAGAGTTACAGAGGAGTTTTCTCTATTTATTATTTTGTCTATGAAATGTCTGTTTATTCTGACCAACAGTCCAAAACCCCAAATCCTCAATTTACTCTCCTGAATGATGAAAAAAAAAAATCAGATCCTCAGGTCTGAGCAGCTGGAACCTCAAATTATTTGATTATTATTTTTGTCTAAAACTTGACTGAAACGATGAATCAATTATCTAAAATACTGTCTGATTATTTTCCTGTTGAGCCACTTGTTGATTTATCGTTAGCTCAGCTCTCATTTAAGGGGAGATGTTGAACTTTCGGTTAAGGTGGTATGTGGGTTAAGGTGGTATAATGTGACACTTTACTACGGCAGTCATGAGACCTCAACGCACTGCAACTTCAGAAAACACAAGCAAAAAGACAAAACACAAGAAATCAGACAAACACGCTGCGAGTAGCACAGACGACAAAGGAAGTGTTTCCGGACACTAAAAAGTGATGAACCAGGCTGAGACGATAAGTTTGTGTGGGTTTAGTTCTGTACCACTGTCAAACCATCGAGGACATGAGGGCTCTCTAGGAGCCATTTTGAGCCCTTTACGCACACTTTTTATATAAGGCATAAAAACATCATGGTATAGTGAGGCATAAAAAAGTCATAGTGTCACAGTCCCAGTGTTTTTTTCCCTTTTACTGTTTTTCTCCCCTCCCCTGTGTATATGTGTATGTCTTGTGCTTCCCCTGACATCAGGTGACTCAGTGGAGGCGTGGTCTGGACAGCAGCTCACTACCACACCTGCAATCTATCACTGAATATCTGCAGTATATGTACCCCGGTCATCCATCCATTCATTGCTCTTAACAGTGGTGGTTATTCCCTCGGTTGCTCTGATTAGTTTGTGTGACTACAGAGTTATGTAGTGTTTCAGTGATCTCCCCGGTGTTTTGTCTGTATTAACTGTTTGTTCTCCTGTGTTCCAGAAGACTTCCTATTTGTGTGCTGCTGATCCTGCCACTGTTGCCTTGACACGCCACGCCACGCCACGCCACGCCACGCCACGCCACGCCACGCCACGCCACGCCACGCCACGCCACACCACCCACCTGCCTCTGGTCTCCAGTGTCCTCTGTACTCCTGCCTTGTGAACTCACCAGACACCTGGATTCCCTGGACCCACTCCCCCTCTGCATTCACCATTACTATTGCTTTTTCCCCAATAAACTCCCTTGCAATGTAATTGCTGGTGTGCTATGTGTTGTGTCTATATTCTGGGTCCAAAATCAGTTCTGATAAAAACGTAACAAATAGTATAGTAAAGGATAAAAACATCAGAGTAAAGTAAGGCATTAAAAATATCATAAAATCATCAAAGTATATAAAGGCATACAAAGTCATGAAAACGCATGAAATGAAAGTCATAAAATTGTTACAGTATAGTTAGGCATAAAAGGAATTAAAACATCATAGTACATTAAGTCATGAAAAGTAATAAAAACATCATGATATAGTAAAGCATAAAGGGTTATTGAGGCATATCATGTCGTAAAAACAGCATATTATATTAAGACATAAAAAGTCCTAAAAATGTCATATTATTGTAAGTCATAAAAAGTCATTTAGATGAAATTGTATAAAAAGTCATAAAATCGTCATAGTGTAATAAGGTATAAAAAGTCAAGAAAAATAAACTGTATAAAAAGTAAAAAAAACATCATAGTATAGTAAGGCATAAAAAGTCATGAAGATGAAATTGCACAAAAAGTAAAAAAAAAAAGTCATACTATAGTAAGGTATAAAAAGTCATAAAATCGTCATATAGTAAGGTATAAAAAGTCATAAAAACGTCATAGTATAGTAAGGCATGAAAAGTCATGAAAATGAAATTGCATAAAAAGTCATCAAATCGTCATAGTATAGTCAGGTATAAAAAGTCAAGAAAATTAAATTGTATTAAAAGTCATAAAATCGTCATAGTATAGTGAGGCATAAAAAGTCATGAAAATGAAATTGCATAAAAAGTTAAAAAAAAAAGTCATAGTATAGTGAGGCATAAAAAGTCATGATGATGAAATTGCATAAAAAGTTTAAAAAAACGTCATAGAATAGTAAGGTATAAAAATTCATAAAATCGTCATAGTATATTAAGGTACAAAAAGTCATAAAATCGTCATCGTATAGTGAGGCATAAAAAGTCATGATGATGAAATTGCATAAAAAGTTTAAAAAAACGTCATAGAATAGTAAGGTACAAAAAGTCATAAAATCGTCATAGTATATTGAGGTACAAAAAGTCATAAAATCGTCATAGTATATTGAGGTACAAAAAGTCATAAAATCGTCATAGTATATTGAGGTACAAAAAGTCATAAAATCGTCATAGTATATTGAGGTACAAAAAGTCATAAAATCGTCATAGTATATTGAGGTACAAAAAGTCATAAAATCGTCATAGTATAATAAGGCATAAAAAGTCATGAAAATGAAATTGCATAAAAGGTAAAAAAAAACGTCATATAATAGTAAGTTATAAAAGTAATAAAATCGTCATAGTATAATAAGGCATAAAAAGTCATGAAAATGAAATTGCATAAAAAGAAAAAAAAAAAGTCATAGGATAGTGAGGCATAAAAAGTCATGATAATGAAATTGCATAAAAAGAAAAAAAAAAAGTCATAGGATAGTGAGGCATAAAAAGTCATGATAATGAAATTGCATAAAAAGAAAAAAAAAAAGTCATAGGATAGTGAGGCATAAAAAGTCATGATAATGAAATTGCATAAAAAGAAAAAAAAAAAGTCATAGGATAGTGAGGCATAAAAAGTCATGATAATGAAATTGCATAAAAAGAAAAAAAAAAAGTCATAGGATAGTGAGGCATAAAAAGTCATGATAATGAAATTGCATAAAAAGAAAAAAAAAAAGTCATAGGATAGTGAGGCATAAAAAGTCATGATAATGAAATTGCATAAAAAGAAAAAAAAAAAGTCATAGGATAGTGAGGCATAAAAAGTCATGATAATGAAATTGCATAAAAAGAAAAAAAAAAAGTCATAGGATAGTGAGGCATAAAAAGTCATGATAATGAAATTGCATAAAAAGAAAAAAAAAAAGTCATAGGATAGTGAGGCATAAAAAGTCATGATAATGAAATTGCATAAAAAGTCAAAAAAAGGTCATAGTATAGTGAGGCATAAAAAGTCAAGAAAATGAAATTGTATTAAAAGTCATAAAATCATCATGGTATAGTGAGGCATAAAAAGTCACAAAAATGTCATAGTATAGTGAAGCATAAAAAGTCACAAAAACGTCATAGTATAGTAAGGCATGAAAAATCATGAAAATGAAATTGCATAAAAAGTCATAAAATCTTCATATAGTAAGGTATAAAAAGTCAGAAAATAGTCATAGTATAGAAAGGTATAAAAAGTCATGATAATGAAATTGCATAAAAAGTCAAAATTGTCATAGTGTAGTAAGGTATAAAAAGTCATAAAAACGTCATAGTATAGTAAGGCATAAAAAGTCATGATGATGAAATTGCATAAAAAGTCAAAAAAAACGTCATAGGATAGTAAGGTATAAAAGTCATAAAAACGTCATAGTGTAGTAAGGTATAAAAAGGCATGAAAACGGCATAGTATAGTAATGCATAACAAGTAATTAAAACATAACAGTATAGAAAGTCATAAAATCGTCATAGTATAATAAGGCATGAAAAGTCATGTTAATGAAATTGTATTAAAAGTCATAAAAACGTCATAGTGTAGTAAGGTATAAAAAGGCATGAAAACGGCATAGTATAGTAATGCATAACAAGTAATTAAAACATAACAGTATAGAAAGTCATAAAATCGTCATAGTATAATAAGGCATGAAAAGTCATGTTAATGAAATTGTATTAAAAGTCATAAAAACGTCATAGTGTAGTAAGGTATAAAAAGGCATGAAAACGGCATAGTATAGTAATGCATAACAAGTAATTAAAACATAACAGTATAGAAAGTCATAAAATCGTCATAGTATAATAAGGCATGAAAAGTCATGTTAATGAAATTGTATTAAAAGTCATAAAAACGTCATAGTGTAGTAAGGTATAAAAAGGCATGAAAACGGCATAGTATAGTAATGCATAACAAGTAATTAAAACATAACAGTATAGAAAGTCATAAAATCGTCATAGTATAATAAGGCATGAAAAGTCATGTTAATGAAATTGTATTAAAAGTCATAAAAACGTCATAGTGTAGTAAGGTATAAAAAGTCATGAAAACGTCATAGTATAGTAATGCATAACAAGTAATTAAAACATAACAGTATAGAAAGTCATAAAATCGTCATTGTATAGTATGGTCTGAAAAGTAATAAAAACATCATAATATAGTAATGTACAAAAGGTAATAAATATGTCAAAGTAAGGCATAAAAGTCATAAAAACATGAAAGTTTAGTAAGGCATAAAAAGTCATGAAAATGAAATTGTATTAAAATTAATAAAATTGTCATACTATAGTAAGTCATAAAAGTCCTGAAGTTGTTATAGTATAGTAAGGTATAAAAAGTCATAAAAACATAGTATATTAAGGCATAAATAAAGTCATAAAACATCATAGTATAAGAAGGCATTAAAAACATCATAGTACGTATAATAAGGCATTAGAGTTGCCAGTCCATCTATTGTGCATGTCTTTGAATTGTGAGAGGAAGTTAGAGTATCTGGAGAGAACCCATGCAGGTGCAGGGAGAACATGCAAACTCAACACAGTAAGATGGTAATGATGATGATACTCTCCCTCCCCCACTCACTCTGTGTCCTGGATATCCGGGTTCTCCAGGCACTCCTGATTCTCCAAACTGGCCTGAGTTCCCCTGCATCCATCAGACCAGAGACAAAAGTCAACGACTAAGCAAAATCACGTTCAATAATAACCTAGTGTCACAGGTTTGTAGTCGCTCACCCCTCGACCCCGGTTCCCTTTACGTCCTGGGTATCCCTTGGGTCCCTGCAGACCGTCCTCACCCTGAGGACAGACAACAGCAGCTCATGTCTTCATTCATGTAGAGGACACAGATGGACTTAGAGCCTGTGGACTGTCCCTCACTCCCTCCCTTTGTCCAATCATTGTTTTTCTTTTATTTCAGTGTGAGCGCCACTGTCAGTGAAACTCAGCACTTAGTACAGAAGTTTCACATTAAAAGCCTTTTTGTGAAGGGAACCAGAAAATGACTTTCAGAATAAAAAGTATATTAATGTCAAACCTCCTCATTAGAGTGGTGAGTGTGACACCAAGACAACAGGTAAACATAGAGGGGGAGGTGAAAATATGAAATGATCTCCAGCAGCTTCAACCTCCAGCTCTGTGATGTTTGACATCAGAGCCAAAATGTTCCCAACAGGCACCACCATCCAGACCACCAGTGGCCAACCCTGATCATGTGTTTAATATGTAAAAGACTAGAGTACTAAGAGTTTCATGTGATCTGCCGTGGACTCACCAGTAGACCAGGATAACCAGGGAAACCAGGGTCTCCCTGTAAAGAGACAGAGATAGAGTGAATGTTTTTATACTCATAAAACAAAATGTATCAGAACAATGAAACTGTGATATGTTCACATTTCTCTGTCTTCCTCAGAGGGAGAGGAGAAGATCAGTTTTCTAAATAAACATCAAACTGTTTTTCTACCTTGACACCTTTAGGTCCTGCAGGTCCATATCCATCTTTACCGTCCTGACCCTGGAGCAGAGACAGAGTCAGAATGAGGGATTTATATCAGGGACAAAGTTTATATGAAACAGTAAACAAACAAACACACACACACACACACACACACACACACACACACACACACACACACACACACTGCAGTTGTTCGCCTACTCACCGGCATTCCTCTGGGTCCCAGAGATCCTGGAGAACCTTTATCACCTGGATCTCCTGGTTGACCCTTCAACAACAACAACAGGTTTATTTGCATGTCATTCCAACACCTGGCTCAACGACAACAACACATGAGGCTGAAACAATTTTAAACAAAATAATTATGTTCATTGTCAATTAATCTGCTGATTATTTTCTCGAATAATTGATGAGTTCTTTGGTCAATAAAATATCAGAATATGGCAAAAATATATTATATTATAATATATTATCAGGTGTCGTCATGGTGACGTGTTTTCTTGGATCAAATGGAGGCGATGAGATGAAATGACGTCACACACCTTCTGTCCGTTACCTCCACGGCGTCCGATTGATCCTGGAGCTCCAGTTGTTCCCGGTGCACCCTGCAGGACAGCAACAACAAAACAACAACAACAGAGTCAGAGCAACAAGAGCAGAACTGAAACCTGAGTGTGTGAGGTTTGAAAAGGATGAGTAGTTGTTACGGTGTCACCACACGATGACTGAAGGAGGCTGTTTATTCTGTTTATTCAGTTCAACCGAATGAAATAATGGAAATGATATTTTACAGGAAGGTTGGTCGGAGCTGTGAGTCACTGGAGCAGCAACCAGGGAGTCATAAATCTGAAGTTTTGTCGGTCAGTAAACTGGACTTTTATTGGACACATGCATCAGCACTAAATCTCATCTGAGACAAATCATACTGACGCAGAGACTTGAAGATGCTGCTGCAGCTTCTGCACAAACTGGAGACGTTTCCATGGAGACAAAAGTGTGATGGTTGTTATTAACGACAGATGTGTCAAACAGACATCTGAGCTTCAAAGTGAACTTCAGATTCTTCTCATAAATAAAACTCTGCACAGTTAAAAATGTCAGGTCTGTGGAGCAGAACACCACAGCATCAGTCCCTCAGTAACAACTAACAGATAAACAGATCACACTGACACAGACTGAACAACACAGAAGTTAATGTCATATAAATTCAGATGTTGTTTGAGGCTAGTTAGCTTGTAGCAGGTCTAGTGTTTGTGGCATGACAAACAAAACATTAATAAACTTTCTTTTTCAAATACAAAAAGGAAAAACGACTCAATACGTTAACGACACAAGCGCACAGGAGTTTCCAACAAGTAGACAGAGCCGCACCAACATCAGTCAAAGACCTGAGTTCTCTCAAGGCTCTGCAGCTTCAACCAATCAGAAGCCAGCATTCATCATTAGTCTAAATTAAACCTGATGCAGTGACACTACAGCAAATTTAACAGTTTACTGTCATTGTATAAATGACTTTCACAGTAATTACTATTATAATTACTGTTATTATCATTGATAGTAGAGGTGATGTGAATCATCAGGACATGGTTTGCTCTGTGCAGCTCTGTCATTCTGCAGCTGTGATGAGCGGTTCAGCCTCTGGGGAGCGCTACAGCAGCATGACCGCTGTGAGGCGACACATTTTATTTGAGAGTCTTCATTTATTTCGGAGACTTATTTGTGACTGATTATTTTAACGAGCTCCTTGCCGGGTCAGATCTACAAACCACATGGACGGGACTCGTTAATCAGAGCCAGAGAGGAGGTCTGAATTTCACTGATTCTGTTATATCATCAGCTCCTCAGAAATAAACAACATAAAAACCTCCTCATGCATCTATATGCTGAATTAAGATTTAAATTCAAATTTGAAGTATTTCATACGAGAGCTGAACTGAGGTTGAGTCAGGTCCAACCTTTGACAAAGAGCATGTAAATCCTCCTCTTGTTAGAAATTTGGGTCAATCAGCTGTTTACTAGTGGATTGTGTAGAATTATGCGAAACAGATGCTACATTTAATATTATATACAGGTCACATTTTGAACATCTTTAATCAGCAGATAAACATGTTCTTGGTTGATGGGAGTCAATGGAAACACTGTATCTAAGCTGGTCTGGGGTCAGTTGACTCCTGTGGCATTAATGAGGAGGAGTAAAGGTAGAGGTGATGTACTGACCTGAGGTCCAGGAAGCCCAGGGATTCCTCTCGGTCCAGGTTGACCTCTGACCCCTCTGGAGCCCTGCGGGAACAATGTGGACTGGTTTAAGACACTGGTCTTTATACTGTGATGGGAAGCTGCTGTGATGACTCACCTGTGGACCAGAAGCACCTGGGCTGCCTGGTACTCCTAGCTCTCCTGGCCCTCCAGGTCTACCCTGCAGAGACACACACACACACACACACACACACACACACACACACAGTTAAAAGGGGGCTGTCATCGTGGTCGTGTGAACCAGAACTGACTGTTGTTTATTTCCTCTCTACCTTTTCACCGAGCGACCCTCTCCTTCCATCTGGACCCTGGAGTAAAAACAGCAGCGTTACATGTTATTACAACATTATTATAACATTATAACAATGTTATTACACTGGGGCAACTACAGCTATATAATGAATATCCCTGTAACAGGCCGCGGCCGCTGGCTGTGTTTCTGATCAGAGTTCACGGAATTTCATAATAAAAGTAACTTCAGGAAATACAAAGCTGTGTATTCTTATTTTGCCTTTATTTTGATAGGTGCAGTGGGAGAGAGACAGGAAAGTCAGGGAGAGAGAGGGGATGACAGGTCGGACTCAAACCCGCGGCCGCTGCGGTCGGGACTAAGCTGTGAATTCTGATACAAAATACATGATTGAATAAACTGTCCTGTGTTACGTCATCCACTGCAGCAGATTTTAAAGCTGATAAAACAAAATGAAGTAAAAAAAAAAAAGTCTCACCGGGTTTCCAACGATTCCACTCTCACCTGGCTGCCCGTCCTGTCCAGGTGTGCCCTGAAGATTTAAACACAGCACAGTGTGGTGCATTTAAAGGCTCAAATCATTTGTAAATGCAGATTGAGTTTGTTGGAGTAGAGCTGATGCTTCTGAAGGTCTGTTCCTCACAATTCATTATCACATGTTGATGTTCTGAGTCATCTGACCAAGGTCACCTGACAGTGAATTTAATCTGCCTGTTTAATTTAACCTGTTTCTCAATAAATGTGATGTCTGTGATGTGGTTACCGGTAAACCTGGGTTGCCAGGGTCTCCCTTGGCTCCTGGTGAGGTGTTGTCAGCACCGGATTCACCCTGTCATCCAAAGCACAAAGACACTGATGAACTGACTGAAGTGAGCTTCATCAATAACTGATAAAAAGATGATTCGGATGATTGTCTGCTGATCAGGTGGGGGAGCGCGACTCGTCTCCTGCTCTGCTTCAGAGTCAGCCTCAGGAGTTTTATTCTAACGACAGCTCCAGCTTCGTTAAGAGCTGAATCTGTTTGCAGTGATGAATCGTGACGTAAACAAAGACACAGACTCGCTGTTTGAATTCTTTTGTTTTTGATTTTTCACGTCCCGTTCCTGTTGATGATGTCTTCCGTATTTTGGCCTTTACTTTTACTTTGTGTTCATGTAGCAGTGATACTGAGTCACTCAATAACTAACTCTATCTTCATCAAATCAAACCTGTCAGATCAACAGAAAGAAAATATTCAGTTTTGTAATCAAAGAAATTAAAGGAAATTCAAACTAATTTTGTCTCAGTCCATCAATGTTTATACAGAAATCTGTCAAACTGGAATATTGATTGCAAATTTCTGCAATCACCACTGTTTAAAATAATCCAGGTTAAAAACCAGAATTTTGAAATTAGTCAAAACAAAATGAATCATCAGTAAAACCCTGAAGAAGAGATTTAAATGTTTTTCTCTTTATGCTCGATTAATGATGTTTTTCAGTAAAAAAGAAAAAGAATAAAAAAGAAATATTGATTACAACTGTGTTTCCTGCCAGGAAACTCTAAGAAAGTTTTCTTTTCTACATCTATTCTTCGGATGTGTTAAAGGTAAAACTCCAGACATGTAAAGTACATTTAAACTGATTATTTTCTTTTCTGTGTCCAGTTCAACAGCAGCAGCTGATTTGTCTTTGTACTTGTTGGAACTGGGTGAATATGAAACCTTAAAATATGGCCAAGAAGCATTAAATATCATTTGTTATTATCAGTCAACTTCAGGTTTAAATTACAAAATGTGAGCTCCAGCAATTTGGAAAGAAAAGTGACAAAAAATTGGATTTGTAGTTTCTTTAAGGCATTTTCAAAATCTGAAACTTTGGTATTAAGGAATTTATTTTGACGGGAACACTCGGACTCTTCCTTCCGGTTCTTTTCAGCCAAAAATAAATCAGTAAAAACATCTGTCATGCGTCTGTAAATGAATTATCCCAAAATATTCCAAGACTCTTTAGCGTTTTAATAGTATACAGAATCTCTATGTCAATATATTACGGTATCTTTGAACGCTCAGCTGATTTCTTTATTACATGAGGCAGTGTCTTATTTCATCCTCTGCCTATAGGAGCTTTAAGCACCTAAGAGTCATGTGACTCATTCCTGGTCTTTCAGATCAGCAGATCACACCAGGAAATAAAAACATCTGAGAGTGGACTGATGCGGTTTGATCTGGTTGGAGCTGTAATATAAACACAGACTGAGGACATAAAGAGAGAGAGAGAGAGAAAGAATGTCAGACTAAAGGTTCAATACAGCAGAATCTGGAAGGAGAGAGACACTGAGGAACAGAGAGAGAGAGAGCGAGAGTAATCAGCCAACAATTATCCATAACATCAAAATATTTCAGTAAACAGAGCAGAATAAGGAAATGTTTTACAAAAAGAGAAACAAGACATTTCTATAAAAGTCTTCTTAATAAATCTCCTCCAGTTTTTGGACTTAAAGATTAATCGATTTTTAACTCTTGAACTTTTTTTATTTTTTTCTATTGTGGAATTGAATTCTATTGTTTGTCCGTTTTCTTTTGTCTCACCTACATTTTGAGTTCATCTGTGTGTATCTGTAATATGTTATAAAAACTGACTCTGGTCACAAACATGCGACAGTAACGCTATAATAGGGATGGGGTTCTGTTGGAGGGTTAGGTTACGGTTAGCAGTTCTTTTTGCTTGTGTTGTATCTGGTGAAGAAAATGTGATGTGGTTGTGACGTGGTCGACAGTTATTTCTGTTAGGGTTAGGGTTTCTGTTCACTCACAGCAGTAAGTGTCACAAGCAACGGTGAGGGCTCTCTGGACTTTTAGGGCCCTGAGTTTTGCCTCTCAAGCTCCCCTCCTTCAGATTGGTGGAGGCTGTTGGCTCAGGGCTTGGACAACTAATACTACTGTTTTACTTCTAAAAGGCCTTAATTACCTGTTTTACATTTGATGTGCGAAGAGTTTTGTATGATGAAATAAAATATAAATAAAGATTATTAGATACTTTAAATTCTTTAAATACACTGTTGTACGGTACTCACCGGATCTCCTCTCAGTCCTCGCTCTCCTTTCAGCCCCGCCTCCCCTCTGATACCTGGGATGCCCTGAGGATGACAGTTAAACCTATCAATCAACCAGCCGGAGGTCAGAGGTCAACCCCTCCAAGCTTCACTCCGTCATGGCAGCGTGTTGGCTGAAGGGGAATTCCACTGAACAGATGTCACATGACACACGTCTCAGCTGTGTTTTCTTGTGTTTGTTGTAAATTAATAATAAGTTCTTTTGTTATGATGTGACAATTATTATTTGTTACATCTCTGCTTTAAAAGAAAGAATGTATCTTAAGAGACTTCCTGGTTAATTAAAGATTAAATACATACAAATAAATCAACAAAGTGACTGAAAAACAACAAAAGAAAACAAATAGAAGCGTAAAGTGTTGGTGTAATCTAAATATACTGAGCAGTGTTGTAACTCTTGTAAATGTAAATAATGAAATGTAAACAGCAATTAATCATAGAAAGTATAAAGAACTATGACAAAATATTTATAAGACAATAATCATCAACAAATAAACAATACATTAAATAAATTAAATTAAAACTAAGTTGATTATTGTTAAGTCCATCAAAAGTATGAATTTACATTTAAATGCATCTAAGTTATAAAATTACTGATTATATTGTAATTTAAAATTTCAAAATATATTTAAACAATATAATATTATAAGAAATATTTTTAAAAATACAATATAATAAAAAAGTAGATGTAACATAACTATCATCAATAATAATATGAAAATTAATACAAATAAGTTAATTATGAATGTTATGAAATTTTATGTTAATTCAATTTATATTCTGATGTACAATATTTCAATTAAAATTTTACAATATATATTTTTCTATTAACAATAAAATAGAATGTAACCTGTGCTAATGTGCTAGTAAAACATGAAAGCATTACCATGTAATGCAAATAATTACAATATATTTTCTTCTGCTTTCTTCTAATTAATTGTCTTTGTAATGTAAAATCTGTTGATACTGCGTGTTTGGTGAAACTGCTGATTAATTAACTGCTAACAAATCAATGATCAGACATACGGGGTTTCCTGGGTGTCCTCTCTCTCCTCGGGCTCCATCACTTCCTGTCGCTCCCTGTGAACACAGAACCAGAGAAACACAGCTCAGCGCTCTAACTGCTAATTTCCTGACCACACCCACTCATTTCCTCCGTCAACAGAGACCTGCTGTATCTTCATTTCATCATCATCATCATCATCATCATCATCATCATCATCATCATCATCATCATCATCATTCTCAGCCTCTTTAAAAACATGGCAGCTGATAAATGCAATTTCTTTATTTACTATTTTTCTGTTTTTATCGTAGTTTGTGTAATTGTCTGGAGTCATTGTTGTTGTGGGGAGGTGTGTGTGTGTGTGTGTGTGTGGGGGGGGGGGGGGGGCATAGCAACAGTTTATTCAGACAATGCATATATCCTCATGTATCATGATGTACAGACCATCACTGGATCATACTGAAGGATTCAGGTTCTGCAGTGATAACCAGCGTCTTTCTTCTATGATTCCTGAGCAGATTTATGCGGATGTTTACTTGGGGATGAAAACACACACTTCCTTTTGAAGTGTAGGTCACACTGAATTTAAAAATCAGTGTATCATGTTTGTGTGTTCAGATTTGACTGAGTTACAACTCTGACAAAAAGCACAATTTTACACGAAACTGACGCTGAGAGTTTGAAGGAACTGTCCCTTGTCCCCACGGGGAGGTGCCTCACTATTTGAAAACCTAAATTAGAGATTACAGAGACACCTGATGATGATGATGATGTCTAAATATTTTCTTTGTTCCTTCCATGAGCAGACTTGCTGCTGCAGTTGGTACCTGTTCTCCGTTGACTCCGTCCAGTCCGTCCTCTCCATCTTCACCCTGCAACATTGGAAGAAACTCCAGAGTCAGCAGAAATTCTTCTCCCTGTCTGTGTCTTCTACTTCTACTCTATCTGGACTTTAGTGTTTATCCAAACATTCCTCACTACATGCAGATCATCATGCAACTTCCTCGTTTAGCTCACTTTACATTCCAGCAGCCTGATTCACTCACCCTGTTTCCCCGGAGGCCTCTGTAGCCCTGTAGACACAAACAGGAGGAATCAGACACGTCGTTAACATCTGGCTAACAAAAGCTGTTTTTCTCACATTATATGAATGATAACTAATCTCTGATGACATCAGTATCTGTACAGTATTTTGGCGTATTATTGAGCAGTGCTCTACCTTTGGTCCTCTGATCCCAGCACATCCCTCAGCACCCTGTGGTCCACTGGGTCCTGGAGGTCCTCGCTCGCCCTGCAACGTACGAACAACGTGAGCAGTGATGCAGCATGTGGGAGTCCAGCAGAGGACTGTGCTGAGTCAGCTGTGACCTCACAGTGATTCACTCTGACCATCAGATGCTCCATCACTCTGGTCCAGACTGAAACATCTCATCAGACGTTTTTGTTCCCATCAGGATGAACTGTAAGATCTCTGATGGTCCTCGACCTTTCCTCTAGCACCACCACCAGGTCACAGTTTAATCACTTTGAATGTTTAAATGAATGAGAAAATGTGGATCGGTGGAATGAGGAAGCACTTACAGCAACGCCCTCCTCTCCCGGGAATCCAGGGTAACCCTTCTGTCCAGACAGACCCTGTTCAGAAAACACAAACAACAGCTTCAATGAAACTTATTCATTCTTCTTTAAATATGGAAGTCATCCTCTCAGCCCTTAGATAAACAGGTGTCCCACACTCAGCTCTATGTAGCGGTTACATTTAACACTGACCTCGGGATACATGGAAAAAGGGACTTAAAGTTTTATTTTGAAATATCCACTGTTGAACCAGGACTTGTGTCTGGACCAGGCCTCTTATGGCTTTCGACACATTTTTCCAAACAATCTTGACATCATATTTGAAGTTTAAAGGTTTGTATATTTTAGTCACCTTTGACCCCGGGGGGCCCCGAGAGCCACGGATGCCTTCATGTCCTGAACATTTGCACATAACATTGCAGCACTCCCTGTCTGAGACCGTGTCCTGCAGAGAGACAGAGAGCAGCGAAAGGGAACATTACACACAGAATTCAATTCAATTCCATTTTTTTTTGTATAGCGCACAAAACATATTATACATTATCTCACAAAACTTTACAGGGTGAGGTCGAGACCAAACCAACAGCTCCCACAAAGAGCAGCACTTGGCGACAGCGGGGAGGAAAAACTTGCTTTAACAGGAAGTGTGTGTGTATGTGTGTGTTTGTGTGATTTATGGGTCTTAAAAATGTTCATTATACAAACAATATAATAAAATAGCTGATGGAACATAGTTACATTTTCCTCTAAAAACATTTTTACTCTTTGAGGTCAAACAATAATCTAGATATATGAGAAAATAAAATTAAGTCTAATTGTTATTCTTTGTCAACAGTGAATTTTATCCCCTGCTAAAGGTTATGGCTCCTGATTTTTTTGTCACAAAAGCTGGGACATCTTTCCACTGCAGTTTACTGGACTCTAGTTATTTATTTTCATTTCTCAACGTGATGAATAATTTGCATATTTTCTCCAGTCACCACCTCCCTGAGGGTTTCCTGTTCCTGCAAGCAGACATGCCCGGACAGGAAACCCTTTCTGAACAAATTAGTTTCTTTTAGAAAAAAAAAAAAATCTCTCCATCACTTATTCTCATCTTTCAGCTGTGGCACCAGACTTCTGAAACAACAAGAGAAAGCTGGCGGAAATATCTGGGCGACTAGCAGAACTGTTCCAACGCTCTAAGACAAGTTATTTATTTATGGGAGATTTTTAAGTGTTCTCATCGGCCACTGCAACAAAAGCGAGTGTTAACAAACTAACAAACAAACATGGACAGAGCACAACATATGAAAGATTAGCTCCACAACAGCGACTTTCAAACATCAAAAACATGAGATCAATGAACCAGCTGATAACGAGGTTCAGCAGGAAGTCTCAGTGTGTGCGTCCAGTGCAGGGACAGGTCCAGGATGTGGTTAGCCTAGCTTAGCACAAAGGCTGGAAGCAGGGGGAAACTGCTAGCATGGCTACACCCAACATTAAAAAAATTCAGCATGTTGTTTTTGTTGGGAGAAAAATGAGCGTCCAGTTCCACCAACAATATCTCAAACTGGGATTAATTTCACTGGGATCAACACTCTCTGAGATTCACTCAGGGTGCAGACAGAGAGCTGTGCAAAGCTCTCACAAATTTCAGTTTTGGTGAACATACAAATGCTAATTCTTGCCCAGGGAGGAGGCTGTAACATTATCTGTGTCAAAACAAGCATCAACGTCTGAGGCTGAAACATGAACAACAACAGTGAAGAACTAAAACCCGCAGTTCCTCTAATGACCACTAGAGTCAAACCGTGAGGGGTGTTATATGAAGCTTTGCTTGTGTCCTTTATCCAGGTAAGCATTCAGTATGCTACAACACTGGCTGGTGTATTTTCAACCATGAGGGTAAATTTATCTCACAAAATAAATCAACCTGTTTCCAGATGTTATTTTGGAATTAGGTGCCATTTATTCTCTAGTAGATCTTTCCAGTCAGAGCTGAACATGTAAATAGGATGTCTATCACAACAGTCTGTTACTGACTTACAATCTGTTTGAGGATGGTGCTGCCAACACTCGGCATGCCGATGCTCAGAGGGAGTTTGTAGCCAAATCCTCGACCGAACTCCACCATCTGCAGCTGGGCAGGATCACGCACTCCCTCCAGAGCCACGGTCAGCAGAGCGCTGATCCCTGCAGACAAAAAACACGCAAGAACATAACATTTATGTGTCGTTATTAGCTGTTACTGTAGTGCACTCCAAGAAATGTATTTTAACTGTGCAAAGACAAGACCAGCACAAAGCAACAGGTCTGTGTGGGCCTCTCCAAGTGCACCTGATATTTTGGTTCATGTACGAATGGCAGAGCAAAATGCAAAAAGTTAATACACATTCAGCCAATCACATCACTGGTCTCATCGCCCTGAAACAGCTGAGCCAATCACAGCGAGGTATGACCACAACCGCTCAACAAATGGAAAGAGGCTTCTCCACAACCTGAACACAGCAATACAAATCTGCAGCCTGAGGCAGACTGTGTGGGTTTTTATTTAAATAAAAGAAATGTTGATGAAGCCATTTATATGATGCCATCAACCTGATACCATCAGCTTTCTTCTGTATGTCACGTCATAAAAGGTCACATCGTATAGTAAAGTGTGACAGTCATGCATTTTAAGAGTAAGAAAAAAGACAGCGACACACAGGACTGTAATCTGACATCTCAACACCAGAATATCAACAGTGTGATATGGTTTCTTATGGGGCTGCTCTCTATGTCTATATGTGTCCTGCTGCCTTCAGGTGCTGCAGGCATTTAATGAGCTGTAGGAGAAACTTTTCATACAGTATGAAGCAGCTGTGGACAACAGATACTGCTGATTTAAACGCATAGATTGGATGGGGATTGATAAATCAAGGGGTTTGTTTACATTTGAAACATTACTCCATCATTGCTGCACATTATATTTCATTTTCTCTTGTTGCTAAAACCACCACTTGGCAGCAGACTGATGTTTCACCAGAAACAGATGTGCTGCTAAGATATCTGTTCTCAGCACAAAGTCTAAAGACATATTTTGCACCAAAGTATCAACAGCTCATTTGCGCCGTCTCATTTGAATGAACCTCCTACCTGTTGACTGTGGCTGTGAGCTTAGCACCAAACGCCCACACAGATGGACAAAGCAAATTTCAAGGTCAGGAAACGACCAAAGTCTCTGAGTGCTGCTTGTGCTGGTCGTAACACTACCACAAAAATAGGGCCCTATTAACTTTAGATATAATTCTGTATTGTGAAGAGTAGAAATGCAAATCGAGGTCACATTTTGTCTCCACTATTTTTTTATGTATATTTCCATAGATGTTTATTCCATAGATGTTTATTTTTCTGCTGTGGTGAGGGAATTTCCCAGTTGTGTGATTAATAAAGTTAATCTAATCTAATCTAATCTATTCTTATCTAATCTAATCTAATATAATCTAATCTAATCTAATCTAATCTAAAACCTCTGCCTGTCAGTTTTTACCAGACTTTCGCAGCAGCTCTGATTGATGTTCCAGGGTCATCACGTCTTCATCGAGTCCGTCTGAGAAGATCACCAGCACCTGATGGATGAGGTTAGTCACGTTAGACTGCTTTTATTGTTAAAGAACTCATCTCAGCACCTTATTTTGACAGGTCTGCAAATTAAACTGACCATTGATCAACTGTAGCCAAAGAGCAACTCCATAATCAATCACTCACCCTTGGATTATAGAGCAAGTAATAATAAGTTTAAATAATAATAGAGTATATAGTCCTAATGTTTTGGAAAAGTAATGATTTTACTGGATTAAAGAAGGCTGGTGATTTAGCACTGAACAAAAGTCTGATCAACAAGAGGTGTCTGGCCAACTTGCTAATAGTTGCCATGGTTTGTTTAATCCTACACTGGCACCAGATTTGACGTTTGGCATCAAATAAAGTTACAATTAGTTCCAGAGTGTTTAAACAACCACATGAAAGTACTTCAAAATCAATTAAAAGGAGTTTTCCTTCACAAATCCCACACAGTCAGAGCCTAACATGTCTCCAGATAATGTTGAGATGGACTAATTTTCACGTCTATTTATTGCAAGCAAATTACAACTCTTTCAATACTTTAACACCTGGCTGCATCTTCAAGCAATCCCTTATGATCACTTCAGAAGAATTTACCAGCTATGAAGAAGTTTACTGGCTGAACTCACATGGTGAGTGAAAAAATAGCTGAAACTCTCTTTTCCCTTCTCATTGTTTGTTTCTGTTTTTGTGAGACTGTCTAACTCGCATGAAACTAGTCTAAGTGCTGACTGAAAAATGCAATATTCTTTATTTAACTAGCAGCTGATGTTGTAAACAACACTTAAACAGTATTGTGAATAGAATACCACAAATACAGTTATGCAGGAATGAGTCCTGAAACCAGGAAATTAGTTGCATTTTCGCTCAGGTGTAACACAAGCTAAAAATATTTTCACGTTTTATTCTACAACATAAAATACATAAGTAATGATCCCAGTCCTGATTTCTTGAAGCTTTTATGTCTTGGTTGCTAACAAGTGTGTAAATGAGTTACAGAGCTTATCTGGGACGTTAAACATCATTACGTTGAACATGAAAACTGATCTCCTCACCAGTCCACCTTTACATCCTGGTTAACTCACCAGTCCACCTTTACAGCCGCATTGTGTTTCTACAAACTGTCACTAACTCTGTCAGAGGAAAGACTTTAGTAGAAGAGTTCAGAGCTGAATCAAACTGCAAGATCAAGTTTAGTGGTGGTGACGTTGAAGTCATGTGACCATGGTGTTGAAGTCATGTGACTGTGGTGTAGTTGGTTTATAGGCTAACATTGGCTTTTTATTTCTGCTGATTGTGTTTAAGCTTCAAACATCATAAAGTGATGTTCATTAGTGAAGATGATCCTGCTGAACTAAACCTGTCAGGATCAGAAACTGTTTTTATATTCTCTAATAAAAGTATGTCATCCCTGCGACACTCTTAAGAGTTAAGAGTGCTATCAAAATATCAAACCAGTTCCAATTCAAATCTATATGAACACAGAAAATCATCATCTCTCCAAAACAATGTGTTTTTTGTGTATGTAAGACTTGTGTAGTATGTCTCAGACTCACCTTCACACCAGCACTGGACTCAAGTCTGAACTTTTCCTCGAAGGATTTCAGCAAGGCAGTGTTGAAATAAGTGGGCTCCACCAAATTCACGGCCATGACTTTCCTCACTACTTCCTTGCTGTAGTGCTCAAAGTTGTAATCATACAGGGTTCGTCCATCACGGCTCACCAACCGGTAGGCGATGTTGGTAGTGACAGGAGTGGTGCCGACACAGCACAGTCCTGGTACTGACGAAATGTAATGGGCGATCTCTGGCAGGAAGGTCTGGAGCTTGGTGTGACCGCTGATCAGCATCTCACCAGGAGCTCCGGTCGTTCGAGTAATATCAAATCCCATAGCGATATCAATGGTGCAGCCTGCAGCAAAGAGAAAAACATGTCTTTACCTTTGGCAGTCATAGACATAGAGGAATATGGTGAGAAATACAGGGAGACATACAGAGAGCCAAAGTTATAGTTTTCAACTCACTGCTTTGTTCTTGGATGGGTTTGGATTTGCAGATGGTGTCGACCACCTTTTGCTTGATCTTTTCCAAGCTACCAAAGTTCTGCACAGTAAACAGCCTCTCTGGGGTGCCGGTGATCTGCAGGAGCTCCAGGTCATGGACGTCTCCAATGCCAATGGCAAACACCTCTATCCCGAGATTCCTGAGACGGTCGGCTGCGTCTTCCACGTCATCCTGCGATTCACCATCTGTGATTAACACAAGATTCTGGGAGATCCCTTCAGATCTACGGCTGCCTCGTGCTGCCTCAAAATATTCCCTGACGGAATCCAGGGCCAGTCCGATGTTGGTTCCTCCACCGAGCTGCTGCATATCCAAGATGTGCTTGGTCACCACTTGCTCAGTGTAGAACTTGTTGAGGTAAAACTCGTGCTGAAAGGTGCTGCTGAACTGGGCAAGTCCCACACGCACTAAATTTTCACTGACTTTGAAGCTGTTCACTAGATCTGTTGTGAACTTCTTCATGATGGTGTAATCTGCTGGGTCGATGCTGCCAGACTGATCGATTAGGAAGACCAGGTCAGCCTTCTGTTTTTCACAAACTGCAAAAGCAAAGAGAAAAACGTTGACCACTTGAGTACATAATACACCAGAGCCCAGTGGATACATTAATGGGGGGACGTTTTTTTATTACAGGTACATTGCCTCATATGTCTGTAGATATGCTCAAAGCAAGTACATGAACATTTTGTAGGTTACTTGTATATTTGACAAGATTACTGAAATGCTGATACTTCTGCCCCTTACCTGGCTTGGTGGAATTGCAGAGGACATGAGTAATATTCTTGTACAGAGTTTCCAGGGCTTCGAAATTGTCCACATAGAAAACTCTGGACGCTTCATGACCAGCCATGATCTCCAGCTGTGCCCTGTTCGCTCCTTCCACTCCAATACTGAAAACACTGATCCCTTTGTCTCGCAGTGCCAAGGAAGGTGCAACCAGATTGTTGCTGTCGGTAGCATCGCCATCTGTGATCACCATGAGAATCTGAGGCACCTGGCGTTCTGCCCGACCACCATTTGCAGCTTCAAAGTACTGTAACGAGTATGCCAAGGCTTTGCCAGTGTAGGTGTCTCCGTATGGGGACTTCAGGGCAGCTATTGCTTGAAGAACTTCTCGTTTAGAGTTGTACTGTTTCAGAGTAAAAATGGAATTGGGGGTGGTGGAGTAGAGAATGACCCCAAAGCGAGTCAGGTCTTTTCCAACTGTAGTTTGGTTCACCATTGACTCCATAAACTTCTGCATGCTTCTGAACTTTGGCAGGGTGATGCTTGTAGAACCGTCCACCAGGAAAATGATATCAGCTTCTTCTGTCTTCTTACACTCTGGTTGAAAATAAAAGGGTAAAGGGTAAATGTGGTCAGGAGGAAGGGTAGAAAGAAAGATGATGAAACAATAAAAGCATTTACATTATAACAAATCAGTAACTTAACAGAACAGTTTATATACTTGTCTTCCATCATACCCACTTTCCAGCTCTCTAATTTAAATGTTCAGTCTTGTTAGCTAGCAAAATATTATCCAATCTATCCAAGAGTCAGTTGGGTTATGTTTACAGTTGAGTATTTTTTGGCCTTTGGGAACCAAAATTTCCCACAAAATTAAGTTTCAGGACAACTTTAAAATTGGCTTTTATAGAACAGTATTGTCCAACAACACTATTAGTATTGTTTTGTAGTCAACAATATAAGTCAGTACCAGTTATGGTTTCCAATGGAATTTTTGATTCATAAATTTTAAATTTAGTCTCTGTACTGAAATATGAAATCTGAATCATGAGGAACAAACTGTTATGCTATGTTATTGAAATGCTTTTTAAAGTACATTTTGTGTTTTTGGGGTAGTCCCAGTCTGCTCTCACCTCTCTCTGGATCACAGAGCTCCAAGGCCAGCTGGCTCTCTAAGTCTTTCAGAGCGTCAAAGTCCCTCTCAGCATACATCCTATCTGGTGACCCGCTGATCTCCAGCAGCTGGGTGGTGTTGGCATCCACAACTCCAATGGCATAGACCAACACTCCTTTGGCCCTCAGAGCCATGGCAGGGCCTTTGACCTCATCTTGGGCCTCGCCATCTGTTATCACTACCAGCCTCTGCCTTAGGTCAGGACGCCCTCCTCTAGATGCATCAAAATACTGTGACACATCTGTGATTGCTCCACCTGTGTGTGTGCCGCCACCAATCTGCAGCATGTTATCAATGGCTTTGGACATTTCTTCTTTACTGTAGTAGCGGTTGAGCGGGAACTCTAGTTTCTGGACAGTGCTGAACTGCATGACACCAACGTGCACCTCATTCTGCCCTATAACGGACTTCCTGATTACAGATTTCATGAAGTCTTTCATTTTCTCATAGTCTTGGGGGTTGATGCTCCCAGAGCTGTCAATCAAAAAGAGAAGGTCGCCTGGTATGTCTTTGCAAGCTGTGGACACAGTAGCACAGACATGTCAGTATAGCATTCTTATGTTTTCCTACTTTCCTTGCCTTGGGGTTCTTAATGTAATAATATAATAACAGAATCTTTTCAGTGGTAAGTTAAGTGCAACACACACCTGCCACATCTCAGCTGTATCAGTTAATTTTTAGTTCATAAATAAGATTTTGAGCTTGTGACGTGATATTCACAAATTAAAGTGTGTAGTTGTAAATTAACCTTTGTAAACCTGAAAAATAAATCTGCACAGTCTAAATGTGATATACAGAAGGTAGTCAGGGCATAGTGACCAATTTTTAGTGAATCTGGGGAACAAGCGTGAGAAAACTGGTGCTTTTCTGGAGCCCTGATGAGCATCAATAGGACAGTATTGCATCATTGCAGACTCACACCACCCTTCTGCAAAGTGCTGGGGAGTCCTGGTGGCCCACAAGTTAAGGCGTTGACCATGAAGTGCAAAGGTCTGCATTCATGTCCAGCCAAAGACCTTTGTTGCATGAAATTCCCCAGCTTGCCCTCATTTCCTGTCATCTCTCTACTATTGGGTGTCCAATAAAGTCATACAGTTCCCAAAAAGATGAAGGTTGTAATGCATTTTAAACTCCAGTCTACTCTGTATTTCCTTACCATCTGTAGAACAGATATCTGTGATGATATCATCCTTGATGGGCCTCAGGGCATCAAAATTATTGACAAAGAAAGTCCTCTTAGGGTCGCCAGAAATCTCTCGCAGCTCATCTGCATCTGCCTTTTTAACCCCGATGGCATAGACAGTGACACCCTGCGCCCTCAGTTTTTCTGCAGGAGCAATGACCTCATCAGCGGATTTTCCATCAGTGATGACGACCAGGTACTCTGGGACTTTATTCCCACGAGTGGCCATTGCTCTGTCAAACAGTGGGCCCATGAACTCCAGTGCTCTTCCGGTCTGTGTCCCACCTCCTACTTGTTTGATTCCCTCCACAGCTTTCTCCAATGTCTTGGCATCCATGTAGGTTGTCAGATCAAATTCTAAGTTTGGAGAATCTGCATATTTTGCAACTCCCACGCGGACATGTTGCGGCCCGATACGGAAGGTGTGAAGAAACTCAGTGATGAACTTCTTCATGTCTTTGAAGTCTGCGGGGTAAATACTTCCTGAGTGATCAACCAGGAAGAAGATATCTGCTTCATCTGTTTGTACGCAGCCTGGAAAGTAAATGCAAAAATATTGTGAGTTCTTTTCCTGATGCATCAGCTGGATACTCTTTATTTATTAAATGTTCTATGCTTAAAATGCTGTTACCATACTCTTAATACTTTGACTGTAAACGTATTTATTTATATTTGTGTACATTCAAATAAATGAAGTCAACTATTAAAAAAACACTGGTTCAGACCTTGTTTGATGCCAGTTCTTCTTGTATTGACTGAGATAGCTTGGCGCAAGATGTTAGTGCAAAGAATTTTCTGCAGGCTCTGCTCCACAGATTTCAGCTTGACAAAACTGTCCACAATGAACACATGTTTATTGGGAGGATAAGACGCCATCTCCACCAGCTGGGCCTTATTGGCATCTTTGACTCCTAGGGAGTAAACTGTGACACCAGCCCGACGGAGATCAGCTGCTGGTTGGCTCACTTCGTCCTGGGATTCACCGTCTGTAATCACCACTGCCACCTGCTGGATGCCCTTATCTTTCCTGCTTCCTCTTTGCTTGGTAAAAACATTCTCCAGGGTGAATTTCAGGGCAGCTCCAGTGTTCGTACCACCCCCATGGTAAGGCAAGATTTTGATGAAATTCAGCAGTTCTTTCTTGTCGCTGAAGCTGTCGAGGTACACCTGGGCTGTGGGCCTGTCGTTGTACATCACAATGCCAACTCGGACTCTACTTGGACTAACTTCCAAGCCGCTGACAATTGAATGCAGGAAAGTACGTACCAGCTGGAAGTTTGGGGTTCCAATGCTTCCTGACTCATCAACAATGAACACGATGTCTGCCAGTTTGGCTGCTTTGCAATCTGTGAAATGAGTGTACAACCATAAAGTCATATTAATTCATTTGTGAGCCACTGAACCATTCACATACCTTTCAAGATGAAGGACAGACTCAGACGAGGAATATTCATGATACAATCTGCACAGTTCTGTCAGTTCAGAGTGCATTTCTTGGTGACCATCTATAAACTTGTCTTGCTGGAACAGGCAACTGACGCAGCATCTGGAACACCCAACAACATCCCAAGAAAAATTCTGAGCATGTCAGAATTATTTGGCCTTTCTTTGCAGAGTTGGATGACTTTTATGTGTTTTATGACACTGACCAGCAGGAGCAATACTACAAGTACCAAGGATGTTGGTACAACTACCAGCAAAAACTGAATAGTGAGGGGCAAGTTGGGCAAGTTGACGCTGGCCCTGTTGAATGTAAAAGTCTAAACATTCAAAAATGGGCCAGTGGAATGGACAGTAAACCAAGCCTATGATGCTCTCCTAAAAAGGTGCAAGCCAACACCCAACACCCTTAAATCTCAGGTGCATGTCGGATCTCTACTTGTCATTCATCTTTGATAAGCTAACATGGTAATCAAACAGCCTTACTCATCTGTCTGTGAGAAACATCTCACATATCTGGGACAAAAACTCAAAAAGAGTAACTTTGAATAAAAGGGTTAAAACAGATTTCTAAAAGGTGCACTCAAGTAATTGATTTTAATAATAATAATAATAGTATGATAAAAAGCTTTTTACCTCCAGTAAGAGTGGTTTCCTGTTCCTGTGTTTCGAAAATAGCCTTTAGTGTATGTACATTGCTGAGGGAATAGTATACATATGGTGCTGTGGCTATGACACGCATTTCATCCACCGCTGAACTGAGGCCCATCCCCACCACAGTTATTCCCTCTGATTTGATCAGACGTGACTGCTTATACACAGAATCATCTGAATTTTTTCCACTTAGAACAACCAGGTACTGTCGGTAGCCTTGGTCCGCTCGGCTTCCTGCCTCACTGGTGAAAAAGTGAGTGCTGGCATACTCCAATGCACTGCCCAGGTAACGTTGCTCGTTGGCTTGCAGTCGACGCTGGCGGAAACGCCTAACACCAGCCAGGGTCTCCTCTTTGGTTTGATAAGCGTTAAGAAGAAATTCCACCTTGGTATCTTGACCATACTGAGCTAAGCCCAGACGATGGCCAGATGCTCCGATGTTAAGTTGGTTGACCAGTCGGACGAGGATGCTCCTGATCTGCTGGAACTCTCCTGGACTCATGCCACTGTCCAGCAGGAAGAAAATGTCTGCAAACTTTTCTGCCAACGCTGAAAGAAAACCAAAAACACTGAAATAACTTCTGCTGTTATGTCAGACCAACCTGGCCGAAGAAAAAAAGCAAATAGAAATGATAAAACTTGTGAGTGTCTCTTAATTACAACACAGTAAATCACAATGATATGGTATCTTACCATGAACAAGATACTGATAATTCATAATTCTTAAATCAGGATTAACCAACTACAAATTAACCAGCTACATTTTCTGGATGCCAAATAAAGTCGATTCAGCATTATAAAAATAACCAGCACTTTGCTAAAAGCATCTGGATTAAAACATTTTTAATGTAACACAGGGAGGCTGTGAGGTGACAGATCTCTGCTGGGCCAATGAACCAAAAATTAAAGTTCCCACACTAAAATTGCATAACAGTAAGTTCACCACTGTTTGTCCCATTTCCCAAACAGCCTCTATCTTTTAATGTTGAGTATTTTGGCAACAATGCATTATTGCCAGCTGACCTCAAACAACACTGAAGGCAGGGTGTTACATTAATCATTACAGATCATCATCTGTTATGTCTGGAGACTCAAAGCTATAAGAATGTCAGATGGAAAAAGTCACAGCACAATGTATGTCATGGTTATTGTTAGGATTAGGACTGTGGTATTAAAGCTACAGCCAAGCTCAGATTGCTACCTGTTTGCTCTGAGTCTTTCTGAACTTTATGTAATCCTGTTGTTTTTGTGCTTCAGATTCATACTCCTGCCACGCTCAGTTCCTGTCATGTCTTGCCAGCTTGGATTTTGTTTGCATGCTCAGCTCTATGGGTTTCCTGTCTGTAAGGCCATCTCTGCCATTATCCTGCCGGGCTGTCTACAGCCCCATGCCCTCATCACCATAACCCACCCCCATTACACACCATTAACTAAAAGTGCAATAAAAGAGTTGTTGTTTTCACCACTACTCTGTGTTCTGTCTTGTGGGTTCCGATCATACTAAAACCTCAGCTTTCCTAGAAAAGTTGAATCGAGGGCAACTGAACTTGGTTGACACTTGGCCTCATGTGACTCCAACTGTCGTTATTACAACAGTCAGGAGCACTAACAAACCACGTGACATCAGTGACCTTGATAATGATCCCACAGAGGTTAAATACCCTGGTGTCCTCACTGGTCATTCAGAACAGAAGAAGACTCTTGAAAGGTGAAACATCTTGAAGTATTTACAACCAAGTCCAGTTTCCCTTGATTCACTGCAGCAAGGTAAGAACTGGAGAACAGCTTCTGTACATTTCTACAAACAAATGCTTGGGCAGTTGTTTTCCTCTGATTCTTATACTTTATTGCAAGATATCAAACTTTCTAAAGATGTTTCCCACAATCCTTTGCCTTACCTTGCCTCTGATCCCCCATGGAGACACAAACAGTTTGCAGCAGACCGTCTGTCAGGGCCACCAGAGCTTGGTAGCTATTGATGGTAAACAGGAAGCGCTCTGAAGGCCGGCTGGCAATGGACTGGAGCTCCTTTACGTTTGTGTTTCCCACCCCGATGGCAAACACAATGACTCCGCGCTGCTTCAGGCGTTGGGCGGGCATCGTCACATTATCCATGGAGTCGCCATCTGTGATGATCACAACAATCTGAGGCACTCGTTGGCTTGCTCGGCTACCGGCCTCTTCTGTGAAGTACCTCTCCATGAGGAAGTCAATGGCCTTGCCTGTTTGTGTGCCCCCTTTTCGGTAGGGGAACGTTCCTATCTCAGCCAGCAGGGATTGCTTGTCCATGTGGTCCTTCAGCAGGAACTCCTGGTGAGGTTCGTCACTGTACTGTGCCAAGCCAACCCGAACTTTGTCAGGGCCGATGTCAAGGCCTGACACAACGCTGCGGAGAAACTGCTGGCCTGCCTCGAAGTTGGCTTGACCGATGCTGGAGGAGCCATCAATGAGGAAGACGATGTCGGCCACAGTGGCCCTGGAACATTCTGGACAGGAAGAAGAGGACAGTCAGAATTTGGAGCAACAAGATGAGGATCATGTCTGTGTGAGTGTTTATGTAGAGGATACCATGTAAGTCTATGTTGTTGGTATTCTAGAACAACATAGACCAATGGAAAAAAAAACGTTCCTTCACTTGAAGGCTGTTGTTAATACCTCCTTGAGTAAGGCACCAAATCCACTACCTGCCTTCATAGAGCTGCTGACTGTAGAAAACTGTAGTTGAAACTTATTGTGAATATGTGGAACTGAAGTACGGACCAGTTGCACGTGGGCTTAGATAAACAGAGTGGACAAAATAACAAAACCACCTTAGAATATAACAGTTTGACAATGCAGACAAAACCCCCCACAAACTACAGGAATTTACACCTTATTGGCACTGTCAATTAAAAGTAAAAAGTACATAATAAATGCTTCAAACATGGTGGCACTTGATGCAATGATAATGAAATATTGAACTACTAAGTTTATGGAAAAAGCAGGTAACTTGACAATTCCAAATAAGGGTCTAGGACCATATATGATATGATCAAAAACTCCAGAAATGCTACTAAAATGACCTTGCTGTGAAAGTCTTCTGCCACTAATGAACTGAATTACACTCTATGGTTTTACAGTTATTCTGTCTGTGTTTAAAAAACGTCCTTGGTCAAGGTTCCTCTCTCAGTGAATTCTGTTGGACATCTAAATTTGCAGAAAAACTAAATTACTTGGTACAACAACCAGTAAGTGATACTTGGCTCACCATTTCTTACTTACATGAATTTTCCCTAGGGATAAAAAAAAATCGATCTATCTACTTTTAAATAATACTTATGTCAGATCTGGTGATCACCGCCGGCTGTGTGGTATGACACATATTACCTTGAGACAATTGCAGGAGTTGTCGTTTGGCTTCCTCTACAGTTGTGCACAGTGTCTGGACGATGCTCTGAGAAATTCCCTGCAGAGCTGCGAAATCAGACACGCTGTAGACATGCTGGCTATGCGGCTCATTTGCTATCTCTCTCAGCTGGTCTTCATCTGCTTCTTTGATACCGATTGCATACAAAACAATTCCCTTTCTCTTCAGATCCTGGGCATGGGACTCAACGTTGTCTTGTGATTTGCCATCTGTGATCACCACAGCGATCTGTGGGACGTTCTGGGCAGCCCGGCTTCCAGCTGCTGCCTTAAAGTGCTCCTTCAGCATGAAGTCCAAGCCCTGCCCTGTATGGGTGCCGCCCCCCATGTAAGGTAATTTGCTGATGTACTGGAGTATGTCCCCCTTGTTCTGATAGGTGTTGAGCAGGAACTCGGTGCGTGGACTGTTGCTGTACTGGACCAGGCCGATGCGGACATGGTCAGGCCCAACATCGAAGCTGTTGACCAGTGTGTACAGAAACTGACGGATCTGTTCGAAGTTCTCAGTGCCGATGCTCCACGACCCATCGACCATGAAGACGATGTCAGCTACAGCCTCTTGCTTGCAGACTGAGGGGGAAGGTTGTCAAGTCATGGAGAGGTCTTGGAGATAAGAAGTCACAGGGTGCTACAAGGAAAGCTCTTACTACTCAAGCAGTTCTTGGTTCTGAGAAAGTGTTGCAGCCAAAGGTGAAAAGGTGTCAGCGTGATCTACAGATAGAAGTTGGGGGCAGCTCACGTGTGCAAGCCAGAAGAAAAAAATGAGCAGCTGGTTGTAAGGTTGTGAGTTGTCTCTGGACAGGAGCAGGGATCTGCACTGAAAGCACTTACCTTCAGGTGGACTGCTGGAAGCAGAAGCGTGAGGAATATGAAAAAATAAAGTTTTGTTGCTTACAGCTGGTGCTCATTTCCTTCAGAAAATGGTGATGGAACAAACAGAAGATGGATAAAGTGATGATCCAACCCAGCCTTTCCTTTAACATTTCCTCTCCTACTCACCACATCAGATCATCACCTCATCTTAAGCAAACCTGATATTCATGAGCCTGGCTACATCAGTATTTACCTTAATAGTTTTCTTAAGATGTGTCCTATCCTAAATACTTCAAACAGATTCAAATCTATCATGTTTCCTGTTGCTGGTCGGGTTAGTTAGATTGTAATCCAAACTAATGTTGCAGTTTTTGGCCATCAAACTAGACTAAGAGGAATAAACTTGTGTTGTTAGATAACTCTGCTACAAAAAAAACATCCTTGGAAACAAGAAAAGTCTTTATTAAAAAGTACTTTAATTTCATCATAAGGGATCACAATCCCTAAACTCCTCAGTAGCTGTAGTAGTGTAAATTGTAAGTAGTAAGCAGTGGTGAGGGCTTGATCCTTAAATTATAGATTTTGAGAAGAATATTTCTTTAACTTTAAAAACAAAATTCCAGGACATAATTAGGTTTCAAAAGCTTTTGTTTGAATAAAGGAATCATAAGAAAACTATTAAGGATGTTTTTTTGGTAATCAGACCCATTAAGCTCAAGACTTTGTGCTTTTGTGAACCAGTTAATGCATCATATCCATGTGCACGGCAGAAAACACATTCTTGTGCAGGGTTAGTAATGGTGCTCTTTATATGTTTACAATGAACATGAGCTTCACACATCTGCTGTGTCTGTGTGTGTGTGTGTGTGTGTGTGTGTATGTACCTACATGCATTTCTGTATATACACTAATACACTATAAACTAGATTGTTTTCACAGATGTTATGGGCTGATGTAAGGCTGAAGCAGGGGCACGTTCGCCATGATCGTTTATGTGCTGGTATGCAGGAAGTTAAGTCATAGCTGCATAATCATACACACCTGTCTCCTGAGCAGTGTTGCTGTAGAAACATACTGCCATGATGAGGCCGAGGAAAAGACCCCACCTCCCCTCCATGCTGGCTTAGTGGCTCTCGGGTTTCTCTCTTCCTACAGAACAAAGACAAAGATGACCATAAATGCAGAGAATGATCTGTTTTCCATCTGGAAGCCCTCAGACATAAAGGCAGGACGCACCCACCATGACTCTGCATCACTGAACACAACAAAAAAGTTCAAAAGAACTGTCCTCCTTTTTGGGGAAATGCCACATTAAAAGAGGAATTTACTAACACCTTGAATGTGGGAGTCAAAGTACTAACCCAGTATTAGCATCTCTCGCAAACACCACTTAGCTGTGGTAGAAGAAATCAGACAATTTCGTTGAAGGTAAAATTGTCTTAGCACAATGTAGAAAAATACTCCAAGATGATCAGAAAGAGAAGCATTGAAATTTACCTAAAACCTTTCTGTAAAGTCTGTAGAACTTTACAGAAATACTGGAGAACATTCCCTTAAAATGCCATTTAAAGGAGCTATTTGTAAGTTTTGCTATGGCTACATAGCTAACATTAGCATTAGCAGCTGTTTACTTACCAGTCTAGAAGAAATGTTATGAGTGAGTTCAGCATCCATTTTCATCCCTTTACTCACCAGCAGCTGTCTCCAGAGGTGGAGACAAACACCAATGTTGACTCTTGTCTCTATCACATATTTACTGCCACTGAAGTTAGCATGCTAACCAGCTAACCCTGGCCCATCTTGTCACTTTCCATTAGCTACTCACTGTAAATAATAAATAGCAATGCCCCTTAAAATTTACTTAATTTGTTTATTTATAGCTTTTGAAATTAAACCGTTTTAAGGGGTTTAGTTTTGTGTTTTGTGTTTCCAAAGTAAGGGATGCTGAAACATCTCGCCAAACATGGTTTCATGTCAGGAGCAGGTAGTGGTGATTGTCGGTTGACAAGAGCTTCAGTGATCATTGGTCATACAAGGTTTTAATACATATGTGGAGCAGCTTCGTCTTCAGGACAGACAAGAGGCTACAGTAATTGACAGGCCAGGGCTAGCTTGTTAACATGCTAACTTCAGTAGAAGAAAAGACGTGTAAGAGACACGAGTTAACACTGGTGTTTGTTTCCAAACAGCTGTTGTTGAGTAAAGGGATGAAGTTTGATTCTGAACTCATGTTTCTTCTAGACTGGTAAGTAAAAAGCTGCTTACATCAGCTAAATTTTAGCTATGTAGCAATACCAAAACATACAAATAATTAGTAATACTCAGGTGTTTAATCAATCAATGGAATATAATATATTAACCCTTATGAAAAAAGCACATGTGAACATGGTGTTTTCACAACCTAACTTTCACATTTGATATGTACACAGGTGCTGTCATTTTTTGGGGGTTTCACATAGCTATGTAAATTAGTTTCACATGTAATCCCAAAGGTTTCACATGGGAATTTACTTGGGGTTTACATATTGCACCAAGAAAATGTTCCAAAACCATACATTTCCCATGTGACAGCACAAGTTCCACACACTTCGCATGAGGTTTAACATGTTTTCACATTAAATTTTCACATGCAAAAATCACATGTACATGTGGTCACATTTATGTTTTATGTAATTGTTATTATTTTTTAAAGGGGCAAAACCTCATAAAAATGATTACATATGAAAGCCATCCCTTAATTGATGACTTCAAGTCATTTCAGAAGGTATAAATTAAGGGGAAGTTTCCTGTTGGTCAGTTGTTAAACAAGCGGATCACAAACCAGGGTCCTGATAAAACTGCCTCCCACCTCGCCTGTAACCAGAACCCACCCAGTGATTTCGAAGGTCATGTGGGCATGATCTGGGAGCCTCGTAACACTCGAGGGCGGAGGAGTGTGTTAAGTGGGATCTTCTGCGGTATCAGTATAATTACTGAAATTATGTGTCCCATAACACCACAACTACTAGGGTGGGATGACACTGAATAAATCATCAAATGAGCCAATCCAGTCTATGTTACAGCAAAGGACATAAATCAGCTTTCACATTGTCACCAGATATTTGGATGAGCTGACCGATGTGAGGTCAGACACTCAGTTCAGTGTCCATCTGCTGCTGCTGCAAAACAACATCAAAAAAGTTGATGAGGTGATGGTGGAGAGTCAAGACGAAAGAAATCCCTGCTCCCAGTTAAGGACCTGCCAGGATTCTCTGGAAACCTGGACTGAGAAGTTTTAAAATCGAATAATGGAATTAGAGTTTCCCTGAGGAAAGACTGACTGAAGGTCAGTGAAGAGAAATCACTCAGGATTTTGTAATATTTATTTTTATTGTAGCATTAAGCTGCATAATAACAAAATGTGAAAAAATCTTAAGGGGTCTGAACACTTTCTGAATACACTGTTGATACTGTATTCCTATATTGTTGAATAAAGATTACATTTGTTATTTGTGGTATTTTCCATTATGAGACTGTGGAACTGTTGTAGCATTAAACTATGAAAACTAACTACAACTAGGTTTGTTTTTCTGGCTGCTCCAACATTTACTGACATTTTACAATTAAAGCTCAAAAACACTGTGGATCATAGTGTTTGTAGGCAGAAGTGTGTTTTTGAGCCTCTAAAACAGAGACTTTCAGACATGCTGCTGGACCCCTTTTATTTTGAAAACTCTGGGGTTGTTGATTGGCTCTCATCAGCCTGGACTACCAGTGGTGAATACAACATGATAATGAATGACAGTGTTACTGACCTTGTTGTCTTTGCTAGCAGCTGTTGTTCACTTACATTCTCTGCTTCAATGCTACAACTGTCTTTGCTGTTTCTCCTTCAGAGGATTTACTGCAGAGGAGACAATCTACTTCCTGTTTACACCGGCTGGCACACGCTCAGTGTAGGTGATGGTCATGTGACATGTGTTTTCAGGTGTGATAGTTTGGACGGAGATTATTTCTGATACGGCCGTGTGGTTGAAGAACGTTTTGGGTTTTAAACGCTGATTTGAAATAAAAAGATATTAGTGTTAATGAAGTCCATAAGACTCACAGTTCCTCAAGCCTGAATATTAAGTTTTAAATAAAACAATCATTTTCCATCAAGACAAGTATTAGAGGAAGTGATATTAGATCCTAACTACAGTTAAAATGTTGTGATTTTGTATTTCTAAAGGGGTGAATTATGTTGTTTGTGTTTTTGTCCACTTCTGTGAAGCTGGGGTTTCTTTCTCTTCTTCCCTGCAGTCTGGAACAGACTCGCTGAACATATGATTCAGTCTTGTGTGCAAAACAAATGAGAAAAGGAAGATGTAAAAATAAAAAGGACAGAATCCTCTATCCTCCATCTTTTACCGTTTGTACAGAGAGAGAGATGATGAAAAACAGTTTGTGCAGCTCACACGACCACTGAGCCAAACTTCATAACTCCCCTATTGTGCTGATGTTCCCTCTTCTTCTTCTGCAGTTCCAGAGAAGCCTGCGGCTCCGGTGGCCAAATGAATTCAAAGCATCTCTGCAACACATAGATCCAGAAGACTGAGAGCAGCTCAGTCTGCTGCATCTGGCTCTGCTTACTGCCTCATGGTGCCATTTCCTGTCATCTGTGGGCACCAGACACTGTCCTGCCACATCACAGCTCAGATAGACGAAGCTGCTCACTGCACCATCTCACTGAGGTAAAGCCTGGACCTGCCTCCACTCCCTTACTCCCACCACCATGAAGTCTTTAGTTTAGATCTGTTCTTCCTGAACTGCTGATCAGATAAGCACTCAGGGATAAAGCAAGCTGGAGAGCTTAATTCACAGGAATTCAAGGAAATATTAGCATTCGCACATCTGTATTCAGCTGGAGGCAGCGACACAGATGTTACACCATCTCAGGCAGAAAAACATTCCTAAGCTGTTCTGGATTTGATACTTGAGAATTACAATATGTCAATTTATCAGCAGATATTCTTTTTTTTACACAAACAAACACGTCTGATGTTACACAAATGTGATGTAGAATAAACTTGTCAGTGTTGTCTGATGGACACTGACTCTGATGGAGACGCCTTTTCTAAATGACCTCAAACATCTGCAGCTGATTGTGCCGACACAGATCAGGGCAGTTAGCGAACCTCTGAACTATCGTATTCCTAGACACCAGCACAACTATGGCGTGCACGGTTTCACTCTGCACATCAGCTGTTTGAGTCAGATTCCCTTTTTCCAACAACATTATCAGGCAACTGGTAAAACTTATCCATCTCGTCTCATCCTCGGGTTGTTGCTCCTGTAGTGTCAGAGTCTTCATGTTTTTAAAACTTATCTCTGGGCTGCAGCTTCACTCTTTCATCCCTGTGCTCAGTGTAACCACCATGTTTCTGGTGTAAGAGCACTGTGCTGGACAGGTGACATGTTTATCTACAGTGTCTGTCTCTGAAAGACGTCAAAGCAGGAAAAGGCTGAAAATTAGCAAGTTCACCTGGTGTTGTGTTTACATCACTGCTGATCAGACCTGGAGCTGATAAATACCTGCGTCTACTGACTGACTAGGGTCATGTGACCCAGGTGTGAAGCCGATTGTTCCCTTTTCTATTGCCAACAAAAAACTGATTGCAGGTTTTTTGAGCAGTTGAAAATGGGCTAGAGAGAGCCGAGTGTAGGTGCTGCATATGCATAGGAATGCAGTAGTTCAATGGTTGAGGAAATGTGGTTCCAAAGGAAAGGAGGTCACGGAGCCTATGTCCATCTTTATTTACAGTCTGTTTGGTCATGGGCTGTGATCTTTCATATGTATTTTCATATATATATCTGAAAAGTCAAATACATGAAACCTGCATCCAGTTTCTTCATTCATATTCTCTTCCGAGCAACCGGTTTCCCTCCTCCTCCTCCCTGAACCTTTCCACTCTCTCCTCTCTGAATTTCATAAGAAGCATTAAACATAATTTACCATCACTGTGCTAAAGGGACTGCAGCTTGGCTGAATGAAAAGTGTGGAAGCAAATGTCTCTGGTTTCAGACTTGACAGCATGTGCCTGTTGGTTCAGTACCAACTACCAAACGATTCAAAGGAGCTCAGCTGTGATTCTCTTCACGGGACTGTAGAG